TGTTAGGCAATCTCCTGTTTCCTCAGCTCCTCATGTGTGGCACCGGGCACATCGCTGTGCAGGACTTCCAGGCCCACGCCGTGGTCATCGGAGGATCCTGGCACTTCAGAGAGAAGGTGAGCATTGTGTGTGTGTGTGGTGAATCCCGTGACATTGTGTGTGTGTGTGGTGAATCTTGTCCGCCATCTTTGTTTTCCCTTCAGGTGATGAGCTGGTTCTGGGCCGTGGTCTCCAGTTTCACGCAGGAGGAGCTGGCCCGTCTACTGCAGTTCACCACGGGGTCCTCCCAAGGGAGGGGTTAGTCTCTACCCTTGTACACATCACATGTCCTCCCTCCTCACGTGTTTGTCTCGCAGTTTAGGGAACAGAGATTGGAAGGTGGAAGTGAAACTTTGGTGGGTTGGAGGCGCACAGGGCGGGGGAAGGGTTCTCTGGGTGATGGGTGACCTGCGGGCGATGACTCATCATGTGATCTCTCTCTCTGCAGCTTCAATCAGCTGTGTCTGCCCACCTACGACTCGTACGAGGAGATGCACCGCATGCTGAAGCTCGCCATCAGCGAGGGCTGTGAAGGGTTCGGGATGGTCTGATCGCCCACATTGGGGTTCGGCGACTACAAGCACAATGCCCCCCCCCCCCCGATCACATGACACGGACACGCGGCTCGGATAGAATACTTTTATTGGCTGCGGAAATGTTAATCAGAAGATTTTGATTCAAAGTTTTTTTTTTCAATAAAAATTTACCAGGAAAATGATTTTGTAAATTGTTATAACTGCACGGCAGTCAGAGGGCGGCGAGTACCGGACACTAGAGGGTTAGGAGGCAGCAAATGGCGCTGCGGCGACCCGCGTTCAGCCGTCCACGATCTGCACCGGGATCTTCCAGCAGAAGAGATTCTTGTTGTCTGAATCGCGCAGCTCCCATTCCACCACCAGCTTCATCTGCGGGGACACAACCACAGCTCAGCTACGGGGGTCATGTGACCACAAAATGGCCGTCACCCCCCATTCTACCGGATGCTTGGAATGTACAGAATGCGCCCGGAGTGGGGGGCGGGGCCTATGGAGGTGAACATGAGGCAAGTGCTGCATACGCATGAGGAAATGTGCCAATGGGGACCGTTCTCCATGCCGTACGCAACGCCCGGG